CTTCCCATTCTCCTTTCCCATCATGATAGAGGTCTCTAGGAAAATTGGTTTGGTGAAGTCAATCCTTTATGGGCAGTTTGTCACCTAGGGAATAAGGCAGACTGAGATAATCCCTAGGGGTGACATGCATTTATATTATTATTAAGTATTTTTGCTTCTCCCCCATCCAAAGATTTCAACACACTTTACAGACATTAATTAAATATGCCTTAAAATCTCTGTGTGAGGTAGGGAAATATTGTCATCCCCATTTTACAGGTGGGGAAAAGTGAGGCATAGAATGCTGAATAGACTTACGCTTGATCACAGAGGATGAAGATAGAACCCAGATTGCCTGACCCCCGGTCCTGTCTCTTAATCAGGCAGCCATTCTTTTTACCTAAGAAGGCCCTGTTTTTCTTCCCAATACTGAAAATATTCTTCTGAAAAAGATACAGAATGAAAATGCAACGGTGGCATATTAGAGAAAGTAAATATGGAAGTATTATTTACTCCTTCTCATAACATGAGAACCTAGGGGTCACCAAATGAAATTAATAGGCAGCAGGTTTAAAACAAACAAAAGAAGGATTTCTTCACAATGCACAGTCAACCTGTGGAACTCCTTGCCAGAGGATGTTGTGAAGGCCAAGACTATAACAGGGTTAAAAAAAGAACTAGATAAATTCATGGCGGATAGGTCCATCAATGGCTACTAGCCAGGATGGGCAGGGATGGTGTCCTTAGCCTCTGTTTCCAGAAGCTGGGAATGGGTGACAGGGGATGGATCACTTGATGATTACTTGTTCTGTTCATTCCCTCTGGGGCACCTGGTATTGGCCACTGTCGGAAGACAGGATACTGAGCTAGATGGACCTTTGATCTGACCCAGTATGGCCATTCTTACGTGCTATTGTGTCTATTTGGATGCCTCTCTTTTCCCAATGACAACCTATGTGAGCAGGCTGCTAGTGAGAGGCCTCCAGTGCCACTGTGTCAGTTCTGTTGCTCTCTTTTCACTCCTTTCTCTGTTCAGCATGCTGTTGTATTTGCTGCAGTCAGAAACCACAGAATGGAGTCAGTGAACATAGTGGATTCAGTCTTGTCACCTTATATTAGCATGAGGAGAAGAAAAAAATGTTATTGGCTCCTGAGAAAAGGGACTATGCATTTTATAAAACATTTTTGTTAGGTAGGAGAGAGAGTTCAAAACAAAGATACATTGGCAAATTCAGTGTATTAATCACCGCCCAACACAGTCATGGACACACTTTCTCAGCAACTCCTACAGCTGGTCAACTGGTTCTAGTCCTTGCCGATGGATAGGGCTGGCTCCAGGCGCCCTCCCCTGCCGCGCTGGGGGGGGGGGGGGGGGGGGCGGCGGGTGGCTTTTTTGCCTAGGGCAGCAAAAAAGCCAGAGCCGGCCCTGCCGATGGAGAAGGCTGTTTCACATGGGGTAAGATGAAAAGGAATCTTGATGCATCTAGGTATCTACTTCAATTAGAATTTGTACCTGTCACAAGAACTTGGTATTGCCTGAAAGCTGCATCTGATTGATAATATTGTATAAAATGTAGTGCCCGCTACTAGAAGCCCTGTGGCATTATTTGGGCATTATGTGTATAAGTTCTTCCTTCTTGTTAGAAATCCTGAAAAGGAAAATGGCCCTACTCAGTCTGCCCTGCACACCTGCTGTCTTTGAAAGGCCCCTTATACTGATCATATTGTTTCTCAGGGCACTTGAGCCCTTACTTTTGGAGATGGGGACTACTTTCCCATTAGAGAAGAGCATCTGTATTTAAACCAAGGAACTTCTCGCTTGTCACCATTATTGTTTGGCTGTGAAAACAATGTCTGGCACCTCAGCAAGACTGCTCATGTTGTTTTGCAACAGAGAAAAACAGTTGTTGTAGCAGAAAACTGCTCTTACTGACTGACAACCACCTTTTCCACCTATTAATTAAAACCTGAGCCTGAAGGAAATGATAATTTCGAACAAAATCTTTCTAAGGAACCACACAGCTTCCTTCACCTTCTGTCCAGGTCATACATTTCTTATTGGGCAGAAACTTTGACCCCTGCCTGGTGGACTTCCCTGTGACCGTCTGTCAGCAGGAGGCCTGTCTGGTACTGTCTCAAACATGCCTGCAGTTGTGCTTGAGGATTCCTAGAGAAAATGCCTACCAAAGGGACGGTAAAAGATGTCCCTCTAGCCTATAAGGAATTTGGGACCTACATAATAAGTAGGGAAGGGCCAACACTCTAGATTGATTCCCTACATAGGAAGTTGTTTTTAAAAAATCTGTCTTAAAAGGTCTGATTTTTCATTTTGTTTCTCTTACAAGTATGGGGTGGGTCAGGGGATATTTTAATGTTCTGAAATTTTACTAAAGCAAAAATGTACATATTCCTGCAGTCTACACCCAACTGCTTTCAGTTGTTTTAGAAGGACCTGTTATATTGAACTATAATAGGCCCATTTTGTATTCTAGCCCAAAATCACTGTAAGCTACCATGGTAATAACACATTTGGGTACAAGCAGTACCATTTTGAGAAGAGGGAAGCTATGAGTTTACCTGCTTACATGATCTCAACAACCAATAGTATTTGAGCATCTCACATATATTGATGCATTTATCCTCACAACTCCCCTGTGAGGTAGGGAAATATCTCCAGTGTACAGGTGAAGAACTGAGGCCAAGTGAGATTGAGTGATTTACCCAAGTTTGTACCTTGAGGTCTGTGACCGAGCTAGAAATAGAACCTTGATCTCCTGAATCCAAGTCTGGCGCTTTAGCCTTTTTTGATGTAAGATGGACTTTGATGAGACTGGATTTACATATGGAAACTGCTGGATGCACCCCAGCAGCTGGCATGATACTGTCACAAATGTAGTAATGTGTAGTGCCACCTATTGGTGCAAATGCAGAGCTGAACATGAGGCTCATTGTTTGCATAATACCAATTAAGGCTCGGGCATGGTGGGATACTATAATTGTTGAACTACTGTTTGTTTGAATTCATTATTAATTGAATTATTTTTAATTCAACTTAAGCCTTTTATAAATGTCATTTTCATGTTGGCTTTCTTGAGCAAATATGTTAACTCTAAAATGAGTCTCACTCTGGAAAATGTGAGGAAAATTATTGTGAGAAGTCCTGGCCAGAAAACAACAATTCTATTTCCCGAAAAATTTTGAAGCTTCGAAAATTGTTTCCACTGAACCTGGGTCCCCAAGACCCAGGTCCGTGCTCTGACTACCAGGCTGTTGACTATTCTGCATGGACACACTCTGTCTACTCTACGATTTTCATCCTGGAACAGAGATACATTCCTGAGAGAATTCTATTTGTGACACAAATGCTGGTATTGAGCCACACAATCTTGAGTGGTTTTACATTTCTAATGTATTTACACAGAGATACCAGGCAGTATCCTAGGGCCTGGAGATGTCTGGGAATTGTGCCCCTAGAGAGTTGCCTATTATTTAAATAAAACAAGGAGTACTTGTGGCACCTTAGAGACTAACAAATTTATTTGGGCATAAGCTTTCGTGGGCTAAAACCCACTTCACTGGATGCATGCAGTGGAAAATACAGTAGGAAAATATATATACACACAGAGAACATGAAAAAATGGGTGTTGCCATACCAACTATAACAAAACTAATCAATTAAGGTGGGCTATTATCAGCAGAAGAAAAAAAACTTTTGTAGTGATGATCGTTCTTTTTGCTGATACAGACTAATACGGCTACCACTCCAAAACCTATTTATTTAACTGATTCTCATTTGAACTATTACTTTTGAAACTCCAAAAGACATAATCAGGTCTCTTTGGCTGTTTTGTGACAACTCAACACGTGTATTTTCCCCCCTTTTTCTATATAAATTATGCCAGAACCAACCTGAAACAGACTAACTGCTGAATAAGGGTCCTTATTATTAACATCATCATTATTATTATTAATGGACTTGCTATCTAATTCTGTAGGTATCTAATTCTGTAGGTATGTATAAGGCTTCACAGGGAAAATAAATACTGTACAAGTGACCAGATTCTCAGCTGGTGTAAATCAACATTGACTTCAGTGATTGACATCAAATGAGAGTCTAGCTCAAAGTCTGTGTCCTCGGAGTTTATAATTATGTTATTTAGATAGTTAGATTTAAACAACAATTTTAAAAAATCCTATCCAAAAGCTGTAGTATTCTAACCATTAATTAGACTTACAATCACATAACGTCGACCAACCAGCAGCATAAAAATAATCAAATACAGAAAACAAATAAACTCAGCCAACCAATTAATCAAAAGCAAAACACCCATTTTGCCCCTGCTGCCTAAAGTTTAGGACAAAATACAATGAACTACGGGAGCCCTGTCTTACCCAAATTATTTGTGTGTTTGATGTGAAACATAGTTTTATGTAGAATCATCAATTTTTTCTGAGTATTATAAACAAGGTTTGCGTGTATTCCACAGGTGTCTGTGCATGAGCTCAGTGAAACCACTAATATTTAGGGTCTGGCTGGTGACTGGAATGGTATCCTGGTCATGGAGCAAGCAGATCTATAAATAATTAACCAGATCATTAAATTGTTGTTTGTTAACTGGTACTAGGAAGGGAAAAGGGGGTGTGTGTGCTCTGAACAAGATTGTTTTTGAACCAAAAGAGTAGGAAGAATACTGAGAACATTCCTTTAAAAAAAAAAAATCAGCCAGGACTTCTAATGCCTGTTTGCACATGAAATTCCTTTCCCGATTAGATTAAAAAGGCTTTGATTGCAGAGCTTGAAAACAGAAATAAAGTGAAAGAAGGGGGTAGAGGAGAAGAAGAAACAACAGAGTTTTAATGGGCGTGGGGGTGGGGGTGGTTGGAGGGGGTAAATCAGAGCAAGGGCTGGAGCCTCTTGAGAGCCAGAAGGGCTGAGGCTTACTGCCTGTTAAGCTGGCACACGTGACAGTGGCTTGAAGTCAACTCAAAGTCAAAAAAAAAAATCAAGGTTGCAGCAGCTCCCTCCTTTACATTGTTTTGCCTGCACCTGCTGTATGTGACTGGCTGGAGCAGAAGGCAGCAGCAGCAGCAACAGCGGCAGCATTCGTAACACCTCCAATGAGAATAGTAGTAAAGGGAGGAAATGAGCAAAGCATCTCCCGTGTGGAAGCCTGTATTCTTCAGCAGATCCCGAGGATCTTTCGGCCAACGCTGCTGCATCTGATGCCTCTCTCCCACAGGAGCTTCTGGTAGTTTGAAGGTAACAAAACAACCGGGAAGCCCACAAGAACATCCGAAGGGGAGGCGGTTACGGAGGAAGGCACTTTGAAAAGAATCCATTATGGACAGAGCGTCTTTCGGGCAAAGGTGCCATTATTTTTGTTCCCTGTTTGTGGAGATAAAAGGAGCCGGCAAGGAGAATCTTGGAGAATCCTTCAGGGGCCTTTCTGTCATTGTTCTCTCTTCCCCCTTGCGCATCACGACGTGCTGACCTTTTCCAGTGGAATTTGAGCCCCCCGCCACTCTACCCCCAGTTCCAGCTGACAGGAAGAGCTCTCCCTCCCCACCCCCGCCAGCACATACCCCTCTTCCACAGACACTTCTATTTGAATAGAAGATGCATCTTTTGGCTGAAATTCTTTTGTTGTGACATTGCCTTGTAGCCAGTTGTCTCACCACAGGAAATAAAAGGAAAAAAAGAAAAGAAAAAGACAAAAGGAAATTCTTCCCAAAGCAGAATCGAAGCAGGGAAGGAAACTAAAACAAAAGCAAAACAAAAAAACACTACGGAGATCTAGAAGATCACAAACCTCCAACTTTAGAAGAAAATGCACCATTAACCCCCCCTCCCAATCAATCAATAACAATGAACAGTCACAGTCTTTCATCTGGATGCAGCTTCTAAAGGAGAGCTTTGGCTTGATACTGGGTTTCCGGCCTGTATGATGCCTGAAGATAGAAATGGTGGGGTCCGCACCTCAGGGGCATTAGCATCAGCTCCTTTCATTCCTAAAACTACCTATAGGAGAATTAAACGGTGCTTTAGTTTTCGCAAAGGTATGTACAGCTTGTCACTGTGTTGTGCTTTGCTGTTAGAGCCTTTTATTCTGAGAGGTCGAGGGGGCCATGTATTCAGCGCCAACAAGAAGTCCAAAACAAAGGGTATGAAACAATAAGGATGCCGATGTTCCACGAATGATTTATTAATTTCCTTGTTCATTTGTAGTTGTAAGCTTAGTATTGTCTTCTATGTCTAACAGTCCATGAATAGTCTGATGGAGTGAGGCAGAAAGAATAAATTTTGTGGTGCATCAGGGTAACTCTGAACTAAAAATCACAGGAGTGAGGGAGTTGAACCTGTGACACCCAGGGTCAGCCATAAGATTTGCAAAATTGGAAGAATAGGTCTGATTGACACTTATTCCCACATGAGGGGAGGGGATAAGAGAATTTACATCAGTCCAGGTGTCCAAATACTTGGATCGAAAGATATCGGATTTCCACACATGCATTATGCTGTTGCATATCATTGCCTTGTTTTGTTTTATCCTATTCCACTGCAGCTTGTTTTCCCATTTCCACTTGCTGCAGAGACGACATTAAAGCCAGATTAATTCTACATTGCACATAATCCTAATGATTAAAGCATGGTAGTTGTCGAGGTAAAGGTGGCTTTCAAAATGCATCAGCAGGTAAAGCTAGAAGAAAAAACAGAAAGATCTGAGTAGGAGGTGACGCGGAACAGGAGTCTCAGCACCAAGAAAAAAAATAAATTAACTCTTTGATGAGAGAGGGGAAACTTTTTCTTTTGGAATCTGAGAAGAAGCGTATCACGGCCATTTTTGTTCTGTTTTAAGAACTACTCTGAGTACATGGAAATTCTCATCCCCATTCCAAGCATGAGTTCAGGGCCACACACATGGGTTAATATGGTTGGAATCCTTTCTTCACCCAACTCGCAGCAACATGTAGCCACTCCCCCCAGTTGGATGAAGTTGAGGCTGCAAGTTGCTACGTGCAACTGGATCTGGCCCTTATTTCCCCATAGTTTGCAGGTCCCATGGCTGTGCTCCCATCTGTTCCCTTCCTAGCCTACTACTAAACTGCCACACAGAGTGATCTGCAACATGTGCCAATCTTTTCCAGCATGAGTGCTTGCTGCCTGCCCACCATGTTCAGCAGTAACAAGGTGGTTCCATTGCTCTGGGGGTTTTGCCCACACAGGCAAAGGTGAACAGGATATGCCCTAAAGGAGGAAGCAGCACTAGCCATGGTTTTTCCAGTACAATAAAGGCAGAGGGCCTGATTTTTTTCACAAGTGATGTGCAACTGTTGTAATTGTGTATCTATGCACACAAAGGGCGCTGAACATCTAGCCCTAGATTTAAATTTTGCTGATAGATTTGTTTTTAAAAAATGAAAAATTGGAGCTGTTCAGCACCTCTGAAAAACTGGTTGAGACAGGACATACGTGTCTATGTACATACAAGTTATGTACTGGTTGGTGTAAGCTACTTCTCCATTGCTGTCTGCCCCTCCGTATGAGCTTAACTATTCGAGGAATGTTCAGAATTTGAGAAAAGGATTAACAGATTAATTTGCAGACAGTTGACCTTTTTTACTTAGTGGTGCCGCAGGCTTCTCGTCGAGAAATGAGACTTTCAGCTGTTTCAGTTTTTCTGTACGTTTTGACACAACAACGCTTCTGTTCTGAAAACGTGAGTGAAATCGCTTTGTTTACGGGCAGGGAATTGAATGATGCTGCTGGAGCCATTGCTGCTCATTGGCACTTGTGCCAGTTGAACTGTGTTTTATATATACAAGGTCTCTTCCAAAAGAAATCATCATGGAAGTCTATGGGCCAGATTTGCAGAACACTGTGTGCATCGTTAGGACATGATCCAAATCCGTTGAAGTCAATGGAAAGACACCCATTAACTTCACTGGGCTTTGGGTCAGGCCTTGACTGTGGATGCACATGCAAATAACAGTTACCTTGGTCTAGTTAACAAAATTTGGTCCACAAAAATGCTGTAATTGCGCATGCGAACTGTGTACCTATGCATGCAACTATGCAAGAAAGGTTTCTGAAAATCTGGCCCATAGACTTAAATATTGGAGAAAATATCTTAAGAACATAAGAACAGCCAAACTGGGTCAGACGAATGGTCCATCTAGCCCTGTATCATGTTACCAACAGTGGCCAATGTCAGGTGCTTCAGAGGGAATGAACAGACCCGGTAATCATCAAGTGATCCATCCCATCATCCATTTCTAGCTTCTGGCAGTCAGAGACTAGGGACACCCAGAGCATGGGGTTGCATATCTGACCATGTTGGCTAATGGGCATTGATGGACCTTTCCTCCATGAACTTATCTAGTTCTTTTTTGAATGCAGTTATAGTTTTGACCTTTGCTACATCCCCCGGCAATGAGTTCCACAGGTTGACTGTGCATTGTATGAAGAAGTACTTCCTTTTATTTGTTTTTAAACCTGCTGTCTATTAATTTCATTGGGTGAACCCTAGTTCTTATGTTATGTGAAGGAATAAATAACACTTCATTATTCACTTTCTCCCTACCAGTCATAATTTTAAATCTATCATATCCCCTCTTAGTTCTCTGTTTGTACTCAGTGATACTGGTTGAGAGCTGGTTATGGGTATCTTAATGCTATGCAGCTGCTTTCAATATACTACAGCTTGCACTGCAGTGCATCTGCAGTTTATAACACTATAGAAACATTTTTCCCCAGTGCCTCAAAAACCCTATTTTCACTTCATTCATTTCAGATTAGATGTGATTTGAAAGCCAATTCCATAAGGGGGGGGGGGGACAGCAACCTAATAAATTTATTAACCTGAAATTATGTGTTTTGACAATGGTGTCAGTGCAAATATGAACCTTAAGCAGTTTAATGGAGTTGAGAACTTGTCTCTCTTCTGTGCAGAAGTAAGCAGGCCTGTAATATGAACATGAATCAGAAGAACATTAGTGGAGTGAGAAAAAAGTACAGTTAATGAGATAGAACTCGTTCATATTAATTGTATTTTCAACAGGCATGAGTTGTACTTATAATTGTAATCCACATTTCACGCTGATTAATTTAACTTCAAGAGTGTTGAATCTTCTGTTTAGTGCCATAAAATATTCTGGGCTGTTGGTGACGGGGAAACTCTGAGTGTATGCTCATAGAATAGCTTTATCAGGAAAGGCCTTGGGTAGAGACGGCTAGAGCAGTGCAGAAAACTTCACAAGGCTGATGTGAAAAAAAAATTTGATTAGTTAACTTCATGCACAGCAAAACATTTTCCAGTTTCATCTCAGTTACTAACAATGAGCTCCTATTTTCAACAATAGGCAGCTTCTAAAAGGGGGAGTAATTGCTGTTTTCAGTTATGATTTGAAGCATGTGTGGAAATTGAAGCTAGAAATCTAGTAAGAATAGGGCTTTGTTACAAGATTCTTCTTTCGGCCCAGGTTGGAAACTGCTTCTTGTGATATTTCCATTTCCTGGCCAGTCTCACCCCACCCTGTGTGTATTAAGGGCATGCTGAATTCGAAACAAATTAAAAATTTACTACAACTTTACCTATATTGACAAATATTCAGATTTATGTCAAGGTTTAGGGTCAATATTTTGTCAGGCCAGATCAAACTATTCCCAGTGATAAATCAAAACTCTGCCTTGGCTTGTGAAAATTATGCAGCCGATTCGCATTCAACTACATCAAGGCCCTGACTCAGCAAGTCACCAAGAGCTGCTGACTTGTGGAGTTGGGTACAATCCCATGAGCCGAATGGGGTTTGAATCCTTGATCTCACCACATGCTTTCAACCTGAGCTCAATTGGACAGCACTCCTCCTGAACCAGGGAGGGAATGGAGGAACTCCATTATACTGCCAGACAGCACTCCTTAGCTCTATCAGCTCAAAAACCACAAGTATGTTTAATCCTCCCATCATCCCCGTATGGAGTAAGCTAGAAACCAAAAAGTTATTTAATAAATACATAAATAAATAAATAAAAACCTACCGGTAGTTTCTATGGACTTCTAGCAGCTGAGACAGGGACCTGGCTGGACACCAAACTTTCTGTGCCAGTTAATCTTTCTCTAAGCTTCATTAAATGACAGGGCCGCCCAGAGGTTGGGGCAATTTGCCCCAGGCCCCGAGCTCCACAGGGGCCCCCACGAGAATATAGTATTCTATAGTATTGCAACTTTTTTTTATGGAAGGGGCCCCCGAAATTGCTTTGCCCCAGGCCCCCTGAATCCTCTGGGTGGCTCTGTTTACTGTGACATTTCAAATATTCCTTCTGTAGCTGCTGATGGTTCCCGTTTGGCGCTTCTGCACCATGCAGAGAATGAGGCTAGGAAAGAGGGTTCCTCCCCTCTCCACCCACCAACAGGTAGCGTTCTTAAGCAGGGACAGTGGAAATCAGAACTCTGCTATTCTTCTATCCCAGAATCACGTGGCTGGACACAGAAACTAGACTTTCTACCAGCTTTCTTTATTATGGTATATTAGTGAAAATAAATACAATTTAAAAAACAAAAACAAAACAAAATTTAAAGATTAGATTTAGTTTTAAGAAAGAAAATGGACTCAAAAACTTGCTAATTTGAATCTTTCTTAAAAAAAAAATTAAGTCACTGGAGCTGGGCATGCTTATCAAAGGAAAGAATCTGACCTATTGGATTTTTCTCATTCTATGGCTTATGTAATAGGAAAGGGAAGTCTCTCAACTGTAGGTCATTATTTGGAATTCAATTCCTGTCAGATAGTTGTTTAGTGTCCCTCTGTATATGAAATGTGTTGGTGCTCTTTAGCCCTCTTGCTAGGAAACAGATGCTCACATCACAAAACAACCATCACAAATGACATTCTTTGGCAGAAGGACCCAAGGTTTGAAGGGAGTTGGAGATGCCATTAATAGCAGGGAAGAGGTAGTTACATCTCCAGATCAGGTTTGAAGTGCATTGCATAAGCAAACCTGAACCTTGTTCATAGCTTACCTGTCATGTGGATCAATACAAGCATTAGTCTTCAGGGCTGTCAATCTGGCATATTATACCACCACCTGCTCTTTCTCACATACACGTTTTGTTGTTACTCTAAAAGACACTAATTGTGCAACTTGTAGTAAATTATAGGAGTGAAGTGTGTGTGTGTGTGTGTGTGTGTGTACACTTAACTTATGGTCTAATCAGAGGAGCTGACCACCAACAACTCCAGCTGAGGTCAGTAGGAGCTGCAGCTGCTTTACAGCTATGAAAATCTGGCCCTTAGGGTAAAATTTTCAAAAGAGCCGCCAAAGTCCCATTTTCCATCCTTACTGAAAGTCAATGGGAATAAAGCTCCTAGGTCACTTACGCCCCTTTTGAAAGTTTTAGCCTGAGTGTAATCAGAGTAAAAAGTTCATATACCTTAGATGTGATATTAGAGCTGTTTCAATGGCCACGTACACTTAACCTCAGCTCAAAGAGTAAACAGGGATGTATGTAATATCTTGGGTTCAACACTTTTGTGACAGAGTTCTATGTCCCTGCGTTGCTTTCCCTTTAGGATTCGAAGGTAGTGTTGTGTTTTATTTTTAAAAGTTACAATATTCTGTACCAATGGTTCATGATATTTTTACAATTGTGTTTTGGACCGTTATGGTAAAATACAGTGGTGTAGTGTTTTTTATAAAGGGCGCTACATGTGAAATTGAGCTCTTTATCCCTGGACTTAGGAGCTGACTACCCTTATATTTGACTAATCTGTAAGGAGGGCTGGTTGTGGTACAAATCATTAGTGCACCGACTTCCCTCTTTGTTCATTCCAATGATATTTTTCCCTCAATCCACTCATGTCTCTCCTTATTATGCATAGGTATCTTTGGACAGAAGCTGGAAGACACAGTCCGGTATGAGAAGCGATATGGGAATCGTCTGGCTCCCATGTTGGTGGAGCAGTGTGTGGATTTTATCCGACTGCGGGGGCTGAAGGAGGAAGGGCTCTTTCGACTTCCGGGCCAGGCTAACCTTGTCAAAGAGTTACAGGATGCATTTGACTGTGGAGAGAAGCCATCGTTTGACAGGTAAAATGCACAAAATTCCCCTACTTTAAGTGGTCTAGTCCAGAACTTGAGTGATCTAGTGTACTGTAAGATAAAAGGCATTGAATCCTTCCTGAGCTAGCGTGGTTTGAACCTGTGTAACTTTTGCAGACTTTTCCTCATTTCCTGTTAACAGCCTAGTTTGCTTCATTTCTCACTGTAGTATCTGATCTCAGTGTGTTTTTTTGAGAAATTCCTTTTTTTGTTTTGTTTTTGTAGTGGCTTAATATTGATGCCAGTTAGGAAGTGTATCATAAGCAATTCAGCTTAATCAAAAATGTCTAGACCCTTTGACCTTATCACCCCTAGGAATGCGTAGGTGGTGGGTTTTCTTATTCTGTTGCATCAAGGGAAATGTTCTCTTATCACCAGCCTCAGTATGTTCTGTTACCTGATGAAGTAGATGGAAGGATGAATCTAAATTAAGGTTGGTGTGAGGTTTATTTGTGTTTGTTTTTTTTAAATAAAAGTGATTTAATTATAGTCCCTTGTGAGGGTCAAACTTCAAATGGTATTGAGGGTTCAGGTCAGAATAGCATCTAAATGTTCAGCTAATTATCCAAAACTGATAAAATAGGAACTTTCTGGACCCAGAAATGAGTCAGTGCCATTCTCTCAGCTGTCGATGGGTTTCACCCATCTCTGTATGCAAGGGCTTGGTTTAAAGGGAGTTCTGCTCTGAAAATGACTATGTAAAAAGGGCACCATGTAGCAGCGGAAGCCAATCTCTTCCTTTAGTGACAAAAATAAATGCTATTTTTTTACTACTGCCAGTATAATGAACCCCAACTTGAGCCATCAGCAGGGATTGAATCAGAGATCTTCAGTGCTAAAAGCATGAGACCTTTACCCCAGGAACTGGAGGGATGCTAGTAGTAATAGATATGGTAGAAGAGGAGATATAACATGCAGAACGAGTGGATTACACCAGCACCACTGAGCCATTGTAACTCTGGGTGAATGACAAGAGAATTAACTAAATTCCAATTATAGGCTGACTGTTGAACCTCCATTGTCTTCAAATTATATCCTTGGTGACACCTCTACCAACTCCTTAGAAGACGAGAGGGTTGCACAGGTGTGATGGAGGGCCTAACCTGAGGAGAGGTGGGGGGTTGCATTTGTTCTACAGGATCTTTGACTGTTAATGGTGCCTGAGCCAAAATGAGTCAGATCTTAGCTGGAGTCTGTGGGTCTGATCATTAGAAAACATTTTTGTCCCCTCCGAAAATAAACACATTTGATATGGAATTGGAGCGACACTGTATGTGTCGAACACTGTGATGCCGTTTTCCCCTCAATTCTGCATTTTCCAAGGAGATCATGAAAGTGGCAGCGCACAGGAAGAACAAAAGCTATTGCTTTCATGTCAGCTTTATTACTTTTTAAATGAAAAGTGGACCGGGGGCAAGGTTGGCTGGAGAAGGGCTTGATGGGGTTAGAAATCTAGCAAGTGACATTGTTAGAGGGATGAATTTTTGCATCAGAATGTAAAAGCACACCATTTTTCGTTTAACTAGAAAGATATTGCAGAGCTATACTATGGGGAAAGGCATATTTTTATAAAGCAATGAGAAATCTATTGTAGCCAAGCTTTCTTTGAATGCATTTTTTCTTTGTTTTATCCTTTAAGCTAAACGTTAGTAATGATATCTCTGGCCAGAGATGCAGATGAACTGACATTGGGGTATAAATGAGCCGGAATGAGACTTTTCAATGCCCCCAGGCCAAATGATTGAAAAGAACATTATATTTTAAAATAACCCATGAAGATGCTGTGTCTAACATTCTGGACAGAGGTGCTTCTTTCAAGTGGTGTGCAGAGCTCATCCATTATAAAACAAATGAGTTGAGAGCTGAGCAGCATGAATATTTCTCTCAGGTTTCTCTCACTACACCTGTATCACACTAATGAGCCACGGGAACAAGCTTGCTGTTTCAGCTTTAGAGAATGAAATGGAGAAGAGGCTTCACGCGGTGCTGCTGTGAAGCAGGCACATAGCTGCAATGGAAGCAGTTAGAAACATTGGCAATAGTTACCTTGAATTCTCTGGCACTGCAGTTTTTCTTCAGAGGCTTGTGTATTTATAGTTAACCCCTACCTCAGATGTTTGTATGAAAACAAGCATCTGTGTTTTTGTTGGCTTGTTTGTTTTCCCAGGCTTTGGGAGGCAGTGTGGTGGGCTTGGGGGCTACAGCGCTGGTCTGGGAGTTGAGAGATTTGGGTTCTATTCCTGACTCTGCCACTGTGTGACATTGAGCAAGACACTTCTCCACCTCTCTGTTTTTCCTCCCACTCTTTATCTTTTCTGGTTAGACTGAGAGTTATTCAGGGCAGGGACTGCCTTTCACTGTGTGTTTGGACCGTGCTTAGCATAACGGGACTCTGATTTTGGTTGGAACCTCTAGGTGCTACTGCAATATCAATAATAATTGAAGGCTGTATCCTGCTGTTCCCATCTCCCTCCAGCCCTTGTGCAGGCATTCAGGATTACCCTGTGCTGAAAGGAAGGGAAGACCATGCTGTGGATATACCCCTTTTCCCCTGCACGGCTCTGTCTCTACTTCCCTAGATAACATTTTTTGCTGTTCTAGGCAACTGCATGTTCTACTAGTTTGGTTGAGCCTGTACTACAAGAGGAACATTGGAAAGTGACTATTATCTGAAAAGTGACAGTAAAAATGAAATTGTCGGGGGTTCCATATTTATTCTCTCTCGTGGACTTCTGGATTCAGTGTGTTTAGTACACAAATGACTAATTTGAAGTCCAGCATTGGAGAACCATCCTGGGATCTAAATATCAAGCTATGTTCTTTCCTTCTCAGACATCACCAGTAATAAAGGTTTTTGTAGTTGAGTTGGTTGACAGTTTTGTTGATGGTGCATGAAACGGAACAGAATCCAGGTCACTATTCCATAGCAGTATTGGTTCTGCATCTCTAATTGTAGGAAGAACTTGGTTTGGTCAGTGGAGTTATGACTGGAAACACAAGGAGCTGATGTTTTGCATAAGAAGATGCCATTTTCACTTTGACATTTTTCTGAATATAAATAAACTTTAAACAAAGAGTTCAATTCCATTTTTTGTAATAAAAGCAGAGAGCAGTGAAATATATATATTTATATATATTTTAAATGTTTACATTAAAAACCACGACTGTTCCTGTAATATTTACACGAGGCTTCTTTGGTTATTTTAGTAAACCATCCTTAGAATTTGGGGATGGGAGGGAGAAGGCAAGATTTTATAGTTACCATATTAGTAATCTCTGCTTTAAAATAGCATCACTATGTTTTAAAATGTTGCAGTCTCTGCTTGGACATCTTACAAGTATGAGCAAGTTGGATATTTAAAGCAATGCGTATTTTTCTCTGATAAGGATCCTTTAAGACATTTGCTGTCCAAGGTCCTGTAGCTCTTTCCCCCACCCCCCTTTATTTTTCCTGTGCACATCCTGTTACTTTGATTTAGCAGTGAAGACCATCAAGTGAACTGCAGAAGAAAGTACATAGTTCAGTGTAAAAGAAATGATAAAAAAGCCTAACTTGAAATCAATGTGAGGTACATGTTTGATGCACTGTAACTCTCAGTTTAGGTAGCAGTTTGGTACTCAGCTGGTAGAGTTAGTTATAAAACTATTTAGCACATCATTAGTACCATTCAGAGAGTCTCAAAGTACCTTAAAGACATTAATGAATTAAACTTCAAACAGCCTTATGTGGACAGTATTATCCCTCTCTCTCTCTCTGTCTCTCTCTCTTTCTCTCTCTCTCGCGCTGTGTGTGTACATAAAGTGAAATTGTATTAAAGAACATCTCCAATTGATAATTTCCCACCTTGATTACCACTTTTAAATATCCCTAATACTTCCCGAACAGTTCCATTAGACTTATATTTAAAAACTTTCAGACAGTCAACTTTGCTTATCATTTGGATTGTTGCTTCATTCTGTTGTGTTGAAAATGTTTTAAATTTAGTCCCTCAGTCCAGGCTTGTCAGTGTAGATAAAAATGGATGATTTAAAAAAAAGTTTAAATCTGATTGTTTTTATTTAAATCATATTTTAATTTAAATCAACTACAGTTTTTTAAAAAAAACATATTTAAAATTAAATTTGAAAATAATAATATAAGGTCTAAACTTATTATAATCTATTAAATGCAAAGAATAATATTAAGCACTACGTGTTTGCTTTCAAGTTTTAAAGAATGTCAAACCACTGAACTGGTGGAAGTTACTGGCTAAGCATCTGGAACCAGAGTTTGCTGATGTGCTAAACCAGCTTCTGACTGCAGAAGATTTTTCTGCACATGCAGAGAGAATCTTTTCTTCATTTCAGTTTAATAATTAGTTTGTTCTAAGTTAAGAAGCCAATGGGAATTGGAAAATTAGGAAAGCTAGTTTTTCTCCTCCAATCTATGATTAAAAAATTGGTGAGAGAGGATGAAATTTACTAGTTTTAAAATCTTGAAGGGCATGGTGACCAAAAACAATCAGTTCAGATAGCTAACTATAGATCATACTTCCTTTGTTTAATAAATCAATTAATTTTAAATGCAAAACATGATTTGATAAACTTTTTTTCTTATATATCCAGCACATTTAAGGTAGCTATATTTAATTTGATTTAAAAAATGATGGTTTTATGCTTTTTAATTGAATTTGAATTTCTGTCCAAATAGAGCATGACACAAATCACAAGTAATAAAATAATCGAATAAATAAGAAATGCATCATTCACCATTTTCTAACATAATAAAGAAATTAAAAAGTAAGAATATGAATAAATGTAAGTTAAGCTATATAATTGTTTAAATATATGTGTATAGGTATAGTGTATTGTCCTGTCTAGGCAAAAAAAAAAAGAAAGCACCAAATTTAGTGCAAAGGCTATATTTAGTTGCAACTCAACATGTTTTAATGATTACCAACTAGTGAGACTCAACCCTTCTTTAGGAAAATAAAAGTATAAATGCAAAA